CCTGGGGACCAATTGTCAGGCCCTTGGGACCAATTGTCAGGCCCTTGGGACCAATTGTCAGGCCCTTGGGACCAATTGTCAGGCCCTTGGGACCAATTGTCAGGTTCTTGGTGCCATTTGTCAGGCTCTTGGGACCATTGGTCATGCCCTTGAGGCCATTCGCCACTGTGCCATTCGTCATGCCCTTCGGACCAATTGTCTTGGGACCATGCACCTTGCGACCATGTACCAGTGCCACCATCACGGGGTACAAAGAAGCCTCCATGGTCAGTCGCCTGAGGTTTCGACAATGCTTGTCATCATCATCAAACTTTGCTTAGGGGCTAACATGTCACCCAAAGAGATGTGAGAGGCTGTTGAACTCTATTTCTGCCAAGTCTCAAAAGGCTGAGTTCTCCGCCATGGGTACTGGGCAGGATCTCCATAATGCTCCCAGCCCCACTGCTGACGATGATCCTGGTTGTAGTAAGAACCTGCTCAATGAGACATGGCCATGAACATCAATGACTGGCACCTTTAAATAAATAAGAAATGAACAACAGCCATGATCATTGTCATTCAAGTCACTCTTCTGGTCAGATTGTCCCCATTCGCCCCATTCATCGTCGTCGTCTTCCTCACCGGGCTCAAAGTCTTCAACGTCATGCCATGAAGCCTTCCCCTTGCCACCATCCTTCCCCTTGCCGCCTTCTGATTCTTCATGGTCCGTTCCCTTGGCTTTAGACTTGCCCTTGAAGTCATCCGTTCCCTTGGCTTTAGACTTGCCCTTGAAGTCATCCTTCCCCTTCTGGAGGTCATCCTTCCCCTTCTGGGAGTCATCCTTCCCCTTCCCCTTCTGGAAGTCATCCTTCCCCTTCTGAAAGTCATCCTTCCCCTTCCCCTTCTGGAAGTCAACCTTCCCCATCTCCTTGCCACCATCCTTCCCCTTCTGGAAGTCATCCATCGCCTTGCCTTTGCCCTTTGAGTCAAACTCAAAACCAGGCTTGCCCTTTCCCTTGTCTTCTTCATAGTCCGTTTCCTTGCCCTTTCCCTTAGGTGCAGCCTTACCCTTGAAGTCGTCCTTCCCCTTCTGGAAATCCTCCTTCCCCTGCCCCTTCATGCCCTTGAAGTCATCCTTGAGTCAAGCTCATGCTTGCCCTTAGGTGCAGCCTTGCCCTTGGTGTCTGGGCTATCCCGCCCCTTGCCCTTGGCCTTTGGGGTATCTCCCTCCGCATTGCCAGCCTTTCCTCCGTCCTTGATGTCAGTGTCAGGCTTGGTCTGAGCCGCCGTTTCTTCTTCCGGAATCATACCATCTGCAGGCGATGTTGGTGACACAATTTCAGGCCTCTCTTCTGGCAGGTCAGGCTCCTCCTCCTGCTCCTCGCACGGAGCCGGCTCAGCCTGGTCAGGCTTTTCTTGATCGCCCTGATTCTCCCAAGCAGAAGCCTCCCACGCCGAGGAGGGTAAGTCTTGTTGTTCTTCCGCAGCTGCTGTGGGAGAGGGAGAGTACTCGTCAGGCGGGACCTTGAACGCCACTCTTTGTGTCTTGGTCGGGGCTTCCTGCCGACAGTCATGCTCACTCTGACTCTCCAATGAAGGCAAAGGTGGTGGGCTGTGAAGCACATGGTCAGACCGGGCATGCCAGGGATGCCTAACTTCAAAGACAAATGTTCCTCTCAGTTTTGGAGGGGTGGCACGCAAAGGAGCCTTGGGATACTTTTTGATGCAACGACCGAAGTCAGGCATCACCACCAAGGGCCCGCCGCCATCAGACACCAACCACCAATTCGAAAAAACTCTTCACTAGGCGGTTGTCTGGGGTCAGTCGGCGTCGGCTCAGGGTCAGTCGGCATTGACTGCTGTTGAGGCACAGGTTCAGCTGCTGCTGCAGAAGCACCAGGCCCGTCAGACCCGTCAGGCGGAGGCTGCCTGCGGCGCTTGGAGCCCGAGCCCCTGCGGTCATTCCTCGTCATGTAGTCAGGCACTGCTCCATAAGTCTTCTCCTTGCAGCCTTAAGCAGCACGCTGACTCTGACAATTTGTCAGCTTGATTTTTATAATTAATGGTTTTATCAATCATATCACACATTTTTGAAGTGAAGACAAAGCAATAATGTCAAAAGTGAACATTAAATTAAGCCGAGCAGCGCATGCGATACTCGTCACACCTTTCCCGGCAAAACTTAGCAATGACTCTGCTGGGGTTTTGCCACACCTGCTTTGTCCCCTTGCCGCCACTCCTCCCCATCACCTCTCCTTAGAGTTGAGCGACAATGCCAGTCAATGTAGCTGATTGGGCTAAAAAGCATCATCATAAGTCTGACTAAAACAATAACTAAGTTTGTGAGGGCCAACCTCATGTCAGGCCAAGAAACTGAGAATGACAGGCACTTCCGCGCGGGTGCTAGCCAGGCTGAGATCATCCAAATGCATGACGGAATACATGGCCTGAGATGAACTTAAGTCCAACCGACAATCAGAGTCAGTAAATGACTAATCAAATTATTGACACATTTAAATTAAAAACAACTTAAAATAAGAAAATATTCCAAATGCTGCAAATTGTCAGTCCATGCAAAGTAATCAACTTTCAACTGTTGCAAAGCCACATAGATGTCAGGCGCCAGTGTTTTGATGGTGTTAGCCATTATGGTCATTGACACCTTAACAGTCAAGCAGTCAGTCAAGGAGTGAGCCATCAAGCAACCAAAAACTTTGATTGACAAAAATAAAAATCTTCATTATTGAAACATGGGCCCAGGCGCTTCCGCCTCCTCCTCGTCAAACTCTGGGACCTCATCCTCGACGTCAAATGGTGGCGCTTGAGGCGCTGGTGGTGGCGACGGGCACATGCCGTTCATGACTATCATGTTGACAAAATCATGGTTGAACTTTGGCACCCAGTCAAGCATCAGCCTCTTCCTCAGCTCAGTGTTAGTAAACCCAGCCAATGCGATGGATGACTCAACACGAATAACACCTGTTCAAAATTAAAAATGTAAGGGCTGATTCATGTCAAGCTTCACACTAGAAGACAGTTCTGGGACCTCTGCAAGGTGCTTCCCGCAGGGACCATGAATGTCAACCAGCCACACTGGCTGCTTTACTAGACCGCCAACCAGAAGCGCCACAGTTTGCGAAGCGACCTTCCCAGTCTTGCCTCAATAGACAATTGAACCAAGTCTTTGTCATTGAACTCATTAAATTATTTTTAAACAACCTCTACGTCAATTAGGCTAAGGTGAAAAAACATAAACGTTGCAGTCAGCCAGCCACATGTTGGCCAAGGAGCATGTCAGGCACAGCCACCAAGGCTTGGTGCCAGCCCGACCCATTCCTGCCAATGCAATCGCCGTCAAGCCACACAGGACTCCAGCGCAAGCAGGCTTCCGGGCCATGGGGTCAGACAGGACGTCAAACAGGCACTCCGGTTCCGTCAGGCTACCTGCAGTCAGGGAGAGGAGCTCAAAGGCTACATAGTCAGGTGCGGTGCCAAAATGGCCTAAGAGTCATGCCACAAACACTATTTAAAAATTGTTAAACACGTTAAGTCAAGGAACCATAGGAGCCGTCCAGCTTGGGATTCTGGAGAAATCCTGCCACACTGTCGCTGTCAGGCCAGATCGCCTCCATGTCGTGTGTGAGAAGGACCGCCCTGCAGTCAGACGCTTCTTGCGCAATCCGTTGTGGCATCACCATCAATCCGCGAGAACCTCAATGGAGCGTTTCAGTGAGGCAATTAAGAAACTGCACATCTTCACCGACCTGGTCTGGCCCACCAAAAAAAAGAGTTGAAAGGATGACTTGAATGTTCAACAGGCCACCGTCTCCATCCACTGTTGTGCTGTAGATGGCGTCAGTCCCATAGGAAATGATGAGTCCTTCTGGCCAGTCCTCACGAGTCCACATCACAGACTCAGCCGCATCGATGCCAGAGACCTCCTCCATGTCAGGCCACGTGTCAGGCCACGTGTCAGGCACCGCGAACTGGACAGTGTGTTTTTGGGAAGGGGAGTCTGTGAAGTAAGCAGTCGGTCGATATGTGAGTGAGTCAGTCAGTCCGATATGTGAGTGAGTCACTCAGTCCGATATCATGGAATGCATGCGATGTCCTGAGCCTGACAGACCTGAGCCAAAAGTTACAAAATCATGTCAGACATGAACACTCATGACGTCAATGACATGAACCTGTCAACCACCTCCTCCTCCCACCAAGCACGCCTGTCAATCACCACAATGGGGATGAAGTTGTTGAAGTCAATCTGGAAGGATCAACTCCCTCCAGTCTACCTGGCAAGTCAGGCGGGTGAACCCATCAAGGGACCATGGGGCTGCTACCGCATATCAATACTTCCGATTCCACTTTCATGTTACATACTAGAGCGCTCTAGTCAGACTCGAGTCACACCGGGCAATGTCGCCTGTCTCGTCGTACTTGTCAAGCTCTTCCGGCTCTTCCATGATCGGCAAGTCAGGCTATGACGAAGTATGACACTGAAGTGAATGGAAGTGATGACAGTCCAAGTCAGACAGTGACAATATAGCCCATGAGATATTATAATTAACTTCAGAATGATTTCAGAATGGGAAGAACGCTTATCATATGAACGTTTGAGTATGAACCATGAGGGTATGAAGGTGAAGGGTGGTTTGAGTCAGACAGTAAGTTTGAGCCAGTCTAGTCAGTCCAGTGGTGGTCAGTCCATAGTTTAACTATTAAACTTATTATATCATATAAGCCCAGCACTAGCCCAAAAAAGCAAAAAATAAAAAATGTCCGAAAGGCCAACCCAGGAAAATAATAAGAAGAAGCAAAAAATGAAGAAGAAGAAGAAGAAGAAAGACTTAAGAATGAAGAAAAAGAAGAAGGAGAAGAAGAAGGCTTGCTTCTTGGAAACCCTCCGGGAGGAAGCTGCAAATCTCTGGGTGTTTTCAAGTGAGGTGTTGAAAAAGGAAAACTTTGGGCACGGATGCCAAACCCATCCAAATCCCAATCACGTACTGCCAGGCATTGAGTCTTAATTACCGCACTGCTGGAACCCAAAGGAAGAATTGAGCCTGAGCCTTGGGCACACCCAGCGCCAGTGGATGAATCTGATGTCTTTAGTAAGTCTTGATGGGCAAACAAGTCTCTAGAATGTAAAGCACGTCCCCCAAAGTAGAGATCGAATCAAGTTTTCAAAACTGGTTCCAAAAGAACCAAGTAACATGCTTTTCCACACCCCATGGCAACAAACGCATGGAAGTTGATGACATGCCCCCCTTGGAAAACCATTGTTCCTCTACAAGCAACTGGATTCATCACCCAAATGGATTTCCTGTCAAACGCAGAAAAGCCACGGCGGTCGACGATGGCCAGGCTCTGGAGAGCCTCGGGCTGCAAGTCTGCAACGTTTGGTCAGCCGAAGTGGAAAAAGGCCGGTTTGGCCACACCAAGCCATACAAGTAGGCCTGCCTGGGTATATCCGATGTCCCATTCCCTGGGCCCAGTGGATAATGATGGTTAGTAAAGACCTTTCTCAAAAAGAGTGAGAATCTTTCACCGCACCCTAGTCATGGCCCAAATGCTTGAGATGACATGAAACCCAAGCAGTTCACTTTTTGACGAACTGGAACCGTAAAACTCCCCATATGAAGGATTTGTACAATCCATGTCTGGGGGGGGGCTTTATTGATCAAGAGTCTACAATAAATTGGTGGACGTGTTTTGACATGTTTTGACCTGTCAGGCTGATACCTTGATACCTTTTCTCAGAACTCTTGCCATCAAATCCCTCCTTCGACGACACGGTGATGACAATGGTCGATCTCCCAGGATATATTCATACATTATAATCTATATAGGTGTTTTTAAATGCTAGTTATATGCCCTAGGGCTCCAGGTGCCTCCTCAGAAGGTATTTGGACCCTCCTGGCACCCACCCCAGTCCCACCTTCTCAGAAGGTATTTGGAGCCCTAGGGCCCTAGGGATGATACTGGGTGTACCTGCATATATGATTATATAATTATATACCAGCACCCTCCCACAGGTCTCCTCAGGAGGATTGTTGGGCCTAACAAGTCTCAATTGGTGACCTGTGAAGTCGGGTGCTGGTATACTTATATATATTACATCAAAGCCTCCAATAGGTCCTATATGTGTCTCTCGTCAGTCCGCCTCCTTGTCTCGAAGCTTCGAGTCCTCGCTCCAATCCTCGGAAGCGAAGCGGTCGCGCGTGGGCTGGTCGTGTCCGGTGTCCGGTGGGGTGTCCGTGGACTGTGAGTCGTGCCCTGCGTAGAGGTCATGAGGTCATAGATCCCCATCGAATTGGTTCGAATTGTATGACCCAAACACTCCATGGGACTGGAATATCTACCTACATTGACCCCTCAACCCACCCCAACTGATCAGTAAGTATGCCAGTCTCATAGGTAGGTCGTGTCTGTACAGTCATGTTTATGAAAAAAGCACGTGTCTTCAGGAGAACAAAAGCCCAATGAGGAGCCTTCAGCACCTCATTCATGAGGCCCTGCCGTTTCCCTCGAAGCGACCGGTTCAGAAACCTAGCTGCCTGACACATACAAGTATAAAGAGTAAAAAATAAAAATGTCTTCATATGTCTTCCCATTCACGTGCAAACTTAAGAATGGCTTATATACAATCAACAAAATTACAGTAATAGGGTCATACTTAATACTTTCTAGGTTGGGTCACCTTGTTTGGAGATGGGGGAGCCTTCAATCCATCTCCGCCACTAGGTTACCTCATGTCACCTCCAACAATTTTGGGAACCCGATCCACCCAAATTCATCCAAATCCCCACTGGCAAACCCCCTGGTGCCGTCACAGGTCCCAAGAAGCTTTACATCATGGAAAACCGTGGACAAAACCCACCGCTGAACTCCTGGTGCTTCGGAGCAACTCATGGTCCTTCAAAGCCCCATCCACTTAACCATGTGATCCATGTGATCTGTTCGTCAGCGCTTGATCCCATGTCTCTCCCCCAACTCCAGCTCACCCTGGACTCGCCGCTTTCCTTCGCCCAGCATCGATGGTCTCCGCTGCCTTCGCCTCCTGTGAGGGGATGTCCTGCAAACGGACGGTGCTTTCGCCGGACCAACGACGAGTGCTGCAGGGCGGAGGTGCTTGGTGCTTGGAGGTTTTGCAAAGGCAAGAATGCTGCAAGTCAAAACATCTTGCCATGGGACAAATTGTTTTTAACATGACAGTTGTGGCATTTTAGATATCTTTGGTGTCGCCAACTCGTCCATTCTCCAAACAACTCAGCGAGTTGCTGATGTTGATGACCGGAAACCACCCGGGACTTCTCATCTTTTTGACGTTGTCAAGTGTCTTCCTGGTTCAAAGTGACCGCCCTTCACGTCCAATTCAGGAACTACTTCACCGCCTTTAAGTTCCCGGAGGGGTTGCAATGAAAAAGCTGGTGCTTGCTTGTTAGCATTTGGAACGGGCAGCTAGAGATGTGCAGTAAGTTGGATAAGCTGATAAGCTTGATGTGATAAACCTTCGAGGGAATCAGCCTACGGCATCCTACGCCCCCACAAGGGTCGTAAGCATCTTCCACCGCCGCCGCTGCAGCATCCGGTCGGAGCACCCGGTCCAGCGGAATTTGCCCTGCTGTGGGCATCAGGATGTAGTACCGCGATTGCTCATCGAACCTAAGATCTGGGCATCAGGCAGCGGTTGACCTGGGGTAGGCCTACAGGTGGATGGGATGTAGCCGCCAATGTAGCTCTTTGGGGCAATAAGGGCAAAATGGCTCAATCAAACAAACCGTTTCTTATATGTCTTAAGGCAAATCTATATGTATAATATAATAATTATGATATAGTAGATTTCCATCTATCTATCTATATATATATATATGTTAGCTCTCGAGCAAATGATCAGCCAAGTAGGTGCGATGACACGCAACATTGTGGATCATGGTCTGGCAAATGGGATCAACTGGGTGCGTAAACCGACTCCAAAACCCTCCGTTGCGAGCAACTTGGGGAAAAAGGTGCCACCTCAACTCCAACCCCCGCGTCAAATCACCGAAAAGATCATAATTTGCTGGTTCTGGCAGCCAAGAATTAGTCAAAAAATGTCAAAAGGAATGTCGAGGAGTCATGGCCCGAATGCTTGAGATGACGTGAACACCTGAAATCACTCCATGGCGATCGCGGAAATGGAACCTGGCGAAGAGGAAGACCATGAAGACTCCTGGAGCACCAGGAGTTCCTTCCAGATCTTCCAGGAGTTCCTTCCTTTCGGTGAGGGGACGCTCTGGGAACCCCCATCCTCCATGAACGGCCCATCCTCCATGGAACTTCTAGCATGAGTGCTCAAAGGAGGGAATGCTTCACCATAAGGACGTAAGTCGATCTGCTCTTTCCAAGGAACTTGGATGGCATCACCAAGGGCACACATGCCATGCGTGCGCACGCATACCTCACAGCCTGGCATCTGGGTTTCGGCAGGAAGTCCTAGTTTGTCATACAGTCAGCTCTTTGTTGATTCTCTGACTTGGAAAACATACTTAGACTAGTAGATTTAAGGGGGGGAGCGGTTCGGCACTCAAACCAGCCAAGCGGAGGCGGTCCAGGGGTTCGTTGAAGCTCCACCCATCCTAAAACACCCACCCACAAGCCTGTTGTCAGACCTGTGATATAAGGCCCTCCTAATGGACGGCAATTCAGTTTGTAGGTGAAGCTTCCACTGTTACAGAAACCACGGAAATGTTGCCAACTGGCTTCTTTTGGTTTCACAGGCGTGGGGGGGGTTCTCAAAGCACTGGAGGTTTGATTGCATTGTCCCTTTAGTGACGGCTATGACTATGCCACTATGCCCTAGAATGCAAAATCTAATCATTGCTTTAAACTCAAAATCGCTTCCTGGCATGCTGCAAGGACCAAACACCTGAAGCCTTCCACCCGTGGTGTTGCTGTGACTTCCCGGCCTTGGTCGCATCATCCTCGGTGTCAACCGCGAAACGTGGCGGTTGACGTTCACCCGTTTCGGGTCCAGCGGTGCGTCGACACGTGGGTCAAAAAGACGGAGCTTTTGTCAGAACCGAAAAACCGGGGTGAATGGTTGACATCCAAATGGTACTACCAGCTTGTGCCACCTGGATCTCCAGCTGAAGTAACTAGGATGATAGAACGGATAGAACACCCAACACCTCCCAAATACCATCAGTTGTACCACCAGAACCTCAGTCAGGCAAGTCGGAGAGCTGTCGGCCAGCACCATGGATCACCCACCAACCCACCCAGAAGGGGTATTGTCACACACGTTCTCGTTTGTTCCCATCGAATGGCGCTGTAATTGTGCCCAGTGACTCCCTCTTCACGCGGCCTGAACCCTTTAGCGTCAGGGGCCACAGCGACGGTACATCACAGCTGCGGTTCTCGTCTCGGTATGTCTATGAAACTTTCGGGTAGCCTGTACCATCTTGCACACTCCCAAGGACTGGCAACGGTCAGGACCTACCCTCTACTGCCCGCACTCGAAGGAAAAATCAACTATTTTGATTAATATATATATATATATACTTTGTATATATATACTTTGTATAATAGTACTTTCCCACATCTATTGGCTCACAGGTGGGGAACAAAGAAAAGGCAAAAAATGCCAATTGGGTGAGCATAAACATAGGGAGACCTCCCAGTTCGACCCACTGGAAGAAGGAAAGCAGAACAGTCTACCATTGGGGCCAGCTTTCTCCATATTATACACAAAAACATGCCCTTGAACATCTTGAACATCATTGATCATTGGGGTTGAAGGGGATGACAGGGTGTCCGACGTTCTGCCGAAGCATTCTGCACCGTCAGGCACCCCTGGCATCGTGCCAAAGCTCGACGCTCAGCATGGCATCGTCCTGACCCCAGAGCTCCTCGGCCGCGCACGTCGCGCACGGAGAATCGCATCTCCGGAGAAACCACGCACCCCTCCAGAAGGGCTGAAGCCCCGACAAAAGCTTTAAAAGGTCCAAACTTTAAAGGTCCGTTTCAAGAAGAAGATGGCACAAAATGTCCAAGTTTGGTGGTTTAGTAGTGGACCACTTAGTGGACCCCCCATCTGTTCAAGACATCTTGGGGTGCCAGTGCCATCTGCGCTGGAAACCACTATCAAAAGGACCTGGCTTTCACCCTAAGCATCCACTGCGCAAAGGCCTCCGGCTGGGGGAAAAAGATGCAAAAAGTCTGGTTGGTGCACATGTTGTTTTCGATGTGTTCATCTCCACTCCTGTCCAATCAGCTGTTAGCAGGCTCGCCCGAACAATCGCCCGAAGGTTCAGTACCTTCCACCGTTCCGTTCCCGAAGGTTGCCAGTGGTTGTCAAACCCCGGAACCTCCCATTGGGAGGGGTGTGGAAGGCACCTGTTGCACCAGATGTGGTGCAGAAGAACCTCAACTCCAAACTTCGACCGAACTCCGAACTTCGATCTGGTCAGGCTGAGTGCCGGATGCCAAACCGATCCGAAAGCCCAGCTTCTTCCCGATCCCACGCACTCCGCGCGACAATGTCACATGCTCTCACCATGCGGGTTCCACCATGGTGCGTTCGGAACGGTCCACGGTGCGAGAAGCTCGTGGGGGCTTCAAACGTTTGGTCAGTGACCGCTGGATCTCGCAGCACATAAGAATTGGAGAACCCCTCCAAAGGACAGGTTTGCACCCTTGAGCTTGGAAAAAATACAAGTATATATAGAAGGAATATATAAGAGTGGTCCACAGGTACGTTTTGAGGTGTGCTTCGTGACCAATTTTGCGGCAAGTGTTCGGTCAATGACATCGGTGGAAGTTCGATCGAAAAGCACGTAAGTGACACGGTCATGCAGTTCGTGTTTGTTCGTGTAGTGGTTCATGTCAGGTTCGGTCAACATTTCTTGTGTGGGTGCCCATTACATTGGCAAGATTGTGAGACCTACTGTGAGACCTCTATCGAACTCTATCATGTCCCAATGTTCTGGTTGACTTTGTTGTGGGGAATCGTTCTTTTGCGAGCCCCTATCGTTCGCTGGAGTCTGGAGCATCCCCAGCATGCGAATGTAAGAGCCTTTAAAGCATTCGTAATACTCGCAAGTTCTGATGGTGTGGATGACAGATGGTCTTGCCTTCGGGCATCTTCGGGCTGCGCTTCCTGTATTGCAGGATTTCTTCAAGCTGCCCAACTGTGGGGAAGTCCAATGGAGAAGCCGGACAGTTCCAGGTTGTTACCAGGGCACCCAGAGGTTTTCATGCGACTGTCACTTGAACTCATGGCAAACACCAGCCCATGAGAAGCCACCACTTCTACCACCCCCGCAATCGTGGGAAGTGGTGGCTTAGTTGGTCCATGTACCTCCGTCCTCACCCGCTCTTCCCCGAAGACCCTCCACCCTCTGCTCCCAACCTCCACTCGCCCTCCACCCTCCACTCGCCCGAGCGGCATCTTTCTCGCCGAAGGCCTTCCAGCGCATGCCGATGCCGCCGCCCACCGCGCCCCACATGATCACGGAAGAGTCCACCCTGATGGGAGGCCGGAGGGTCAAGCGATCCCGCTCTGTTCTGGTGCAGAGGAAAAGGGATAAAAACGCACATGTGTAGGAGTTCAGTATACACTAAGCTCATTGTCATTCATTGTTTGAACCATTTTTGGAACCCACCCACAGAGGATTGAAATGGCTACTTCCCTTGTGAACAGCATTGAACTGTCTTGATCACCGGACCGCGGTTAGATCCGAGAGGTCTGGTGAAGAAGTTTCGGTTTGAGCCACAAAGGAGGGGTGCCTACCGTGCCTACCGTTCTTGGTTTGAGCCACAATGTCAGTTATATTACATCCAAAAACTGCGGAAAGATGCGGACATATGGTGATCGTCGATCGCTTTTCAGGGGGCCCTTTGGCTTTCGCAGGTTCTTGCCCAATTCCAAACATTATTGACCGCTCTTTGCCAAATGAGTCATCGCACGTCTTGGCAGTTGCTCACATGGGTTGATCACAGGGCGCAGCATCCTGCAAAGTCGTAGGCATGCAGCATGCACTGCACGGTTTAAACCTAATTAAAGAAAAAGAGAGAGAGAGAGATCTGAACAAAAATGACCAAATTGGTGTCCCACTGCGAGGTAGTGTCAATTTGTTAGAGCACAAGCTTCAGTTCGTAACAACGACCCATTCAAAGAGGAGGCTACAAGCATGTGACCGCACCATAGGGACCCTATCCAACGGATTCTACCACTATTTTGATGATTTATATTATATGAGTTTCCAAAGGATTCTAATTACCTGCCATTTTGAGGATCCCCCAAGCCAAAGCAGAATCTGGGCACCACTCTGAGTGGCAGCTTCCCGCTTCCCTCGAGCCCATGCTGCATTCCAGGCGGCTCAGGCCGAAGACGGTAGGGAAAAAGGTCCACGAAGGCATTCGCTGCAACGTAGTTGCCTCGCAGGAACCGAGAAGGATGAGAGGTAGAAGGACGTGACCTGAACAAGGACCCGTCTTTTTCAGTGTGAATCAACCGATCGGGTGCCCGTGGAAAAACCGAGTCGGGCCATTCTGAGACCCGTGGAAAGAATGTTCCAACTTACATATAGTTGATGATTCAAGAAACCAATCCCAAACAGTTCCTCCCAACGCCTCTTTTTGCACGGCTTGCACCCTCTGTTTCATCTGTCCCTCCCACCAAAACACATTGCACGTCGGGACTGGACAGCGACCGGAACAAAAGCCCACGCTCCCCCAGCAGAACCTTGGCCGAGATTGCCCATCATGGTGCTTCCAGCGGAAAAGCCCACCACCTTCATCAGCTTCATGGTCGTGTAGGCGATGGGTCCCGACTGTAATTGTCTGGGGCCCACCTGATTCGTCGAGTCCTGGCGCGGAAAATCAACATCAAGAAGGAAAGAAAAAGCGGCAAGTGACTAGACCAGAGTGGGAAGTGAACAGCAAGACTCTTTCAATCTTTGCGTTTGTCCCAACATCTTTCAAGGACATTCACATGTTGGGCACTGGGCACTGTATGACATATGATGTTGTGCTGCGGGACCTCTGGTTGCAATCGCTGTTTATATATAAATGTTGTTGCTGCATTCTTATCTGATTCATCTGACAATCCCCACGGATTTTTGAGGCCTCCTTATGGAATCGTCACGAATGGTATGGAAGGCTCCCTTTTGTCCCGCAGAAATCACCAAAATGCTGGCCACATCCAGGAATCGTCAGGAATCCTGACGTTTTTGTTGGCCATTGCCTTTACACAAAACATTGAACAGTTCTGTTCTTGGAACAGCCTGAAATGTTCTACAACAGGGGCTCTGAGAAAGCTTGGCATTGTTTCTGAGAAAGCTTGGCATTGTCAGGCGGGGGCACAAACTACCCCACCATGGATCCATCTGCTTCGAACATGTCCGCGCTACTATTCCAGCCGTACAGTAACCTACACCGAAAAAGATAGATTTAAAAGAAGAAAAACACAAACCTTCAGCTACTCTTCAAACCTTTCAGCTACCTTCAGTAGCAAAGGTGCAAATCTTTCAGCTACTCTTCAAACCTTCACACCTTCACGGCCTGGCGTGTTGCCACCTTCCCTTCTCACCTCGGCAGCCAGCTTCCTTGCGGCCTCGGCTTGCCTTGGAAGTGAAGGCATGGCGTGAAACCCGCCGGCCCCGAGAGTCCAGGACCCCAGGAACATGACTCCTTCGACTTTGAGTTCGTGAGGTGTTGCATTTCTCCGGACTCTGGGGGACAAATATTATGGGATCATTCGGAAGTTCAAGCCTGGGGTCATCCCGTGTCGGGTGTGTCAATCGGGAGACCAGGCAACGATCGCCTGGAAGGTTCGGGGAGGTTCGGGTGCACCAGTCCACCCAGCCTTTCGGCTTGGACCAGCCCCATGAGCCAAGTCAGGGAGACTAAGGTAGGTCATGGTAGGCCTTCCCCAAACCATACTCACGCAAGTTCCAAGAAGCTGGCCTTCCCAGGAGCTGTGAAATGGTCATTCCTGGATTGACCCTCAATGGGTCTGCTAGATTTGTTTTGCACTGTGAGAGGTTGTTTGGAGCACAAAAGGAGCAATAAGCCATCTATACTGCCATCTATTATATAAATCAAGAATAATGAATGCAGTGCCCTCTCAGAGAACTGACTTGTCTGCTAGATGAAGGTCAATGAGATGCTCATCTACCGGCCCACAGGCAAGCTGGCGAGCCACTGCATCTCCATCTGATGACACCACAATACCAATACACTCCGGCGACTACTCTGGCGAACATATCACATGGGAGTGGAGTTCACCCCTTAAGCCTTAGTTTGTAAGGGAAAGTAGTCTTCCAAGGGCCTGGGTTGTGGAGGAAAATCGTCTTCCAAAGGCCCATTTTCAGGTTCCATTTTAATCTTCCCGGATGTACCAAGCGGTACATAGCACAATATGTTTCTGCTTCTCCTGCTGCTACTTATCTTGGCTGCTCAGTGAAAACGAGAGCAGCTCCAGAACTGGAAACACAAACTTCAAGTGCATTCGCGTGCATTTCTCAAATGAATGCCTACACTTGTTGGACATATACTGTTGCACATCTTGTAATCAACACATATCAACACCCCATGGTCGCAACTGCTTTACATTCATAGTACAACATCCTCTTACTCCAGCTCTTGTGCGACCCTTCGCGTTCAATCACCCTGCTTGGACATGCTGTTGTTCCACCTTGCCAGCGGACCACTTCGACGGATTTGTTTTGTCGCCGAGCTACGCGCTGTACTCCTGCTGCATCTGCGCCTCTCCCAGTGCATCCTCCGCCGCCATGCCCAGCTCCGTCCGACGCGCCGGATGTGCATGGGCCGCGGCGCGCGGGTCGCGGGCCACAGCCACCTGCGAAGTGGAGAAGTGATGAACCCTTGGTTGGGTGGTTGATTCACCCACCACTAGTTCAACCTAAGTGAATTCCACATTGGAATGCCCAGCCGCCCGAAACGCAAATCCGGACACAGCTCGAGCAAATGCAGCAAAGCAGCAGTGCAGAGAGCAGCTTATTTAGCAGTGCCGACGACAGCTCTAGCAAAGGTACAAAATTGAAAGTATGCATAGTATGCGCTAGTGTATAGTGCTGTGAAACGAACAAAACGCCATAAAGCAAGGTTTCAGTGTAAGTTACTGTATATGGAAAACATGAAGCGACACGCAAGGATTTCTGAATTCGCGTCGTTTTCGGGAACATTCGGGAACAATACGATCGTTTTCGGAAACTTACAGAGTCTGCAGGCTTCAGTCTTCAGCCCGCTGTCGGACCTCCTGGCAACTCTCACAACATGGCTCATATAGACTGTGTAGTACATTGTGGTACAGTTGTGTGGCGTGCACCACCAATTCCCCTCAAAAACTACTTTTCGCAAGCGCAGGTCCTGGGAGTGCGCCTGAGCAATGGTGCACCAATTTCGCTCAGCAGTTCTCAATAGTTCTGACATTCCACCCTTGCCGCTTGGAGTTCCAACCTTCTCCCCAAAACCAACTTCCCCTTGTTTCTGGAAGTCTCGGTGCTTGGAAGAGTTGCCTTGGCATCACCGGAAGGCCCAAACGGTCCACCGAAATCCGCCTGCACCACGTCGAAATCCGCCTGGAAGTTGGATGGCATGAACCTGCAGGAGAATGGTGGAAGAAGCCCAAACGGGCTCAGTATAGGCTGCCTGTAGGCTCTTGATTATTAACCTCCCCATGTAAAGAGGTGTTTCAATGGGCCCGTTAAGGCCATGAAGAGTCTACATTGTGGAAGGGCGCGGAGACCCCTCCACTAAAGGGGGAAGCGACAGCGATGGCAGATGGCAGGATGAAAGACATGGCTCTCTACTAAGCCGAACTTTCGCTTCATCTTCAAATCCGAGGCTCGTGGGAACAATCTGATGATCTGGATTATATGCAGGATCGTGTCCCTGGACATCAATTGTTAACCATTTTCCATCTGTTCATTGCAAGTGGGGAAGCCAATCCCCAAATGGTTAAAGGCGAAGGTGATCCACTGATCGGGCAGGCGTCTGTGGCGCAGACTTTGGACAGTCCAGAACATCTGCTCAACCCAAGGCACTTTAGGCTGGCACCATTGCGCTTCGCAGCCTCCAAGGCAAACTCCTGGCTGTCCAACGAAAATGAACCAACACAATGTAGGACCTTGAACTCCTCCATATGAGAAGGTTTGTCAATCTCAAATGGGGGAAGTGATCTGCTCACGCTCCTACGACCACACCGAACGACAAACAAGTCTCTGACCTTGGCTTTCCATGTGGTGTGGGGAAACCAAGCAGTGCCTCTCGGTACCTCAGGTCTTGAAAGTCTCCCATCACCAGTTGGTCTGTCTGACCAGTACTTCGATGCCTCGAAACGTTCCAGCTAAAGATACGTATCTTTCAATTGTCCTAGGAAACGGTGCGTCTCGCTTCTGCCCAAACTAGACCCAAGTTCAGTAATTACTTGGAGATACTTAGAGCGTCCAAGAAGTTGATTGTGAACGTGTCACAGCACAACACACCGAGCTTCAGTACATGAACGTTCTCAGCGACAATCCCACAAGTGCCAGTACTTAAATTGCGCTTATTCAGGCTTGCATTGCATGATCTTCCACAGTTCCAGGAAGTACATCAATCTTTGTCGATGTTCTCGGAGGCCGATGGCACCGACGTCATCTTCATCAGGGCTCCTTGTCGACGCGGAGCTCCTCCGCCGCGAATTTGTAGCAAACCTCAGCGCTTTGCTGCGCAACGTTTCCGGAAGCGTTGCGGCTAAGCCGAGCGGAGAAAAGACCTCAGTCAAGCCTGGAGGAAGCATGTGTTTTTGGCGAAGCTAAACTCGGGGTCCAATGTGATCGAATGAGATCAGGCTCCACAGGTTTGCGTCCTGTGTCCTTGATTTGGTGGCTATGGAGGGGCACCCTAAATTTATGTTTGAACCACAACCAACCCAAAGCGGCATTAAGATCTTTCTTTGATTCAGGTCTCTTGCCAGCTGTGGGACCATATGCTTATGGGACATACATGGACATACCCCTGTGAGATCTTGTGGCGCATGATCCTCTTGGGGAGCATGATCTCTTGAAGATCTCTTGCGATTTATCCAAAATCCTTGATCTGTCTTTACACACCGGTGTTGACTAGATGCAGGTTCCTTCGGATCGTTGGTTCGAGGGCAAACGGGCCTTCCACAACCCAGGACTTCTTCATCAGCCAAAACTGAACAAGATTAAGATGTTGCTGATCGCCCCATGGCTGCCCCAGATACTAGTGGACAACTTAAGAGGATATGTTCGTTGATGTTGGGAACAAAATGCATTCAATTTATATAGAGTCTCCATATATAACTATAATCACCATGATGCATTCCTTCGCATTCACTTCTGGCAGTAGGATCTACACTGAGCGGATCTGAAACAAATCCCAAGAAACCGGATCATGGATGATCATCTCAAGGACGAAAGCTCGATCCTTGCGAGGCTTCACCCACATGAAAACAACGACCAACTCCAAAAATATTCCAAGAAGGATGAATTCACAAAGTGACAGATTCTTTCTGCAAGGAACTCAAAACAAAACAAGAGATGATAAGAATCTTGGCACCCTATGCAACCTCCATCTCCGCCCTAGTGATCCTCACGAACATCTGAGTTCATTTCGATTGGCCATGTTCACTTTGATTGCCAGTGATGAGAGATGTGTAATTATGCCAAACTCTGCCATGCTATTATGTGTTGCTAGTTGATGGCACGGTCATCCAACCAAACCCTCAAAAAGCACTGAAGCTTCTGGCAATTTCATCCTTGGAAAAGCAACCTTGAAATTCTTCTTGGTCTTCCGACGTGCCACTTCAAAAACAACTGCTAATGGCATTGGTTTAGAGTCTAGTGAATATAGAAGCCGTCAACAAAATATGTTACACTCTATGCGCAGTTCTATGGGATTGCCGGATCTGGCCCGTTCCATCCCCTTCCGCACCTCCTGCAAGGTGCGCGAGGCACCTTGCAGGGCGCCGCCGAAGCCCTTCTGCGCGGCTTCCAACAGGAAGGCCTGCCGCATGCGGCACGGAGCTAGGGCTGGGTGCTGGGAGGTCGCTGGGTGCTGGGCACCTCTGCTCTCTTCGACTGTACATCACTTCTGGAATGTACATGAAACGACCGGGACCCACTCCAGGGTCGAGTTGGGGCGGTAGTCACAGTTGGCCCAGAGGTGGTCAATAGAGATGTTTAAGAATCTTCTGGGATACAGGTGTCTGTGTGTGACGGGTCCGCAAAGGCTTACAAACCATTACACCCTGGAAGACGATCCCATGGACCCTGGAAAACCACGTCGGTTACGTAGCGGAAAAGCATGAAAACCAGGGAGCCATGGGACCGGGGTCTACATAAGTTCAGAAAACCCCAACACCACGTCGCCCGCGCAGTCCGTGCTTCGGCACCTTGTCGCCTCTGAAGGCCTCCGCGTGCTTCAGCGCCGCGCCGTGCAGGGCGACGGCCTCGTCATCGCGCCGAAGCAACCGGACCGGTGAGACGAGTTGAGGAATCCCCACAGCCCATGAAGGGGGGACCTTTCTCAAGAGGTTGGTACCTGGAACACATATACTGTTTAAAGTGATGTTCGTGGTACCTCATGGGGGTAACTTACATATACTTATATACATTTTCCATAGGTTGGTACCTGACCTGCTGCGGCATCACATAAAATTATCATCAACCATCAGTCAGTCATAAGATTCAGGTTTAAGACCACTACGCCACTCACTATTATGTAGCTATATGATTTTATATGGTATACTATATGATACTATATATGTGCATGACATGTGTTCAAGGCCAATCAGCTGGCCCTGGTCTCTCACTACGTCTCGCTTTCGGCGTCGAGCCCCATCGACTCGTAGGGTGGCGCCTTCATCACGCAGCCGCGCGAGCTGCGCAGCTCGGCGGAGGCGAACTCAAAGGCCTCGCCCAGGAAGCCCGTGGCCAGGAGCACCAAGTCCTGCCCCGGGACGACACCGGACCCGGACCCGGACCGCGACCCACGACCGTTTTGGGCAAGGATCCGAAAGAAACGAACTGCGTGGAGTGCGCGGCTGATGAGGAAGATCGATGAAACCACGCTACGGGTTGCTGGTAGGGGATCAAAACCACGCTACCCCTGCTGTGACTGAGGTGTTTGCACTCTTCAGCCCTCCCTCGATATTCCTGTCCAATCTTCCCAAGATGTGGCTATGGTATACAATCTATGTTTGTGCATGGCCAAACGGCGCCCAGTGCAGGCTGTGTCTCTGGTCTCCTTGGGGCCCAAAAAACCCGCCGGTACCGAAGAGGGGGCCAAGCGCAGTAACAAGGGAAAGTCAAACACTTGAATATGCAATTTACGTGAATCAAGCACTGACCCAGCATGAGAAGTGCAACCAACTGAGTCAACTGAGTCTTCATATCTTCAAAGTCTCTAGGTATGTGGCAGGGGACTTCTTGGGACCAACTCGAGTGTTGGGGCCTGGCACGGGCCTTACATCCTGATGGCACCATGAAGTTGTTTCATGAAGATTTCGGAGTAGGCCAGGATCTCAACTTAACTGTCTAGCTTGCTCCATTTTCTCAACCACCACAGCCAAGTGTTCTTTTGTCGCCACTCCAGAGCTTTACGCAGGTGGGCTGTTCAGGTTGACGGTTGGTTTTGCAACGAACTCAGCTGCGTGGCGTTGCCAGAACTCGTTTGGCACCTCGTCGGACCGTAGCTCGGGTGCCGCATGTTTCAAGGCACGGCCCTGGCTGGCGCGCAGCGCGCACTCCTCGGTCGTTCGACACGGTGGTTCCTTAAACGGCACTGGAAGGGAAGGAGAATGAGAAGTCCAAGAGAAGGCAGAAAGGCCTTAGATTCTAAGGCTTCTGATGTTCAATGATGTTTATGTTCTTGGAAGAAATCCAGAACCAGTCCAAAGCCGCACAAACCGCTCCTGTTCAGGCCTTTGTTGGATCCCTTGGCTCCAGGAACGTTCGAAGACCAATGGTCTTTAGATGTCTTTAGGGTCTTTGGACCACTTTGATCAATTTTGCATCTCTTTGTCCAGACCTCCCACCACTTCCACCAGCTGCCTCCTTTGTCGCAACTTAGACTAGTTTAGGATTAGACATTAACTGAATAAATCGTGTAAGGTGCCACCGGATACAGTAACCCCAAACACTTACGAGGTGTCCTTCTGTGATCTTCTGTGTGCTTTGGACATCCCCCCCTTTGTTGGAAGGCCCGGAACTGGCTCAGTGTCACGGTTCCCGGCCGGGGCACCAGCAGGGGCTTGTCGCTTTGAATCTCTGGCGGCGCATCCGCCAGCACCTGCCAATCCTTCAGCACCGCAGCGGACCACCTAAGGTGCGACCGGTCATGGCTGAACCCAAAATCAGGTCGTCACGGGTCGTCACGGGAAAACCACATGGATGGCCTGGAGGGGGCGAAGGAACAAACTATGAACTGTTCCTGGTGTTTCCCTCTGTCAGTTCCTCTCGTGCGTTTTCGGGGTAGCAACTCTGAATCCAACGACTCGAGCCCCTGGTATCGCACCATCACCGCTCGTATCGCTTCAAGCTACCTACTTTGTTGCTGGGTCGTTCAGGGCCTGATTCAACAACTGGGATCATCTTCTGTGTCCGGCGTTGTTTCAATGAACCGTGCTCAATCCCAGCTTGGATAGACCGGGTGGATATGGGTGGATCTCTTTTTCGCCAGCTGCAGGGTACCTACCCCTTCGGAGACCTGGGCATCAGCATGCTCCCCAGCCACATGTTCTTCCGCCAGCTCTTTGGATTCAACGTAGCTTTCCCGCTCTCCTGCAAGATCTGCAAGTGAAGCCGACGGCAAGATCTGCACAAAACATGTTGTTTCACACCACGCCCACCCCTCGTGCTGCAGCTCCACTCCGCCGACGCCGACTGCGCCGACTGCGCCTCGGTGTTGGGGAGGCTCTTTTGCTTGGCCGCTGCCATGCCACTTTGAGCTACGCTGGCAGCCGCCAAACGTGACAGGTCCACATCCACCTGGCAGGACCGTGACAAGTCGCCCCCGCGAGTCCTCCGTGCGATCTCCGCGAGTCTGGAGAGCTTTCGGCGTTGGCAGCTTGGGTAGTTTCATGTGAAGGAACCGTCCCTGTCATTTGATGTATATAATTTGTATGAATTTGTATGATCCGGATGAACTCCAACATGACCCTATATGATCTCGTGTAAACTGCCCGCACTTCTGGAAGCTTGGCATGGGTTGCATGCGTGTTGGTCTTCACTCCTAAACTCATGAAGATATGAACCTGCTTGGCCCCACTTCTTTGATAACCCCAATGAATCGAGTCCCTAGACCATCGAGTCCGGGGGGGTTGTTCGCTCACCCAGCGTAGGAGGCTCATGGAAGACGACACGAGCTGATGTGGCCGGATGTAGCCGCTGCGGCCTCCTCCCCCTGGGTCTTCTGAAGGTTGGTGTAGGCACGACGCAGCTCCGCTTCCTGCATCTAAGCAAAGTCCCAAGCAAATCAACCAAAGGATTTCGAGCCACGCACCACCGTTCTGGCGTTCTCAAGAGTTGCACTGCTTCTTTCTCAGCTTTTGAAGCCACCAGCTACTGAGTAGCCAGAAAGAAGGGCTAATCATCTAATCATTGAACACTTGGAGGATCTTGTAGGCAGCGGTGGTATGAGGTGATCCTGCAAAAAGGGTCAGAGTCCTTTCCCAGATTTGAAAGCTTGGAGGACCCAGATGAAGAGGACGTGTACCTTTTCAGTTCCGAGAAAAAAAACAAAGACTCTCTTTTCCTACACAAGGACTCCAACGACTCACCACCGAAAACCCCGCGACACGTGCTCATCTCCTCGGCCGCGGGGAGGTCGTTGATCATCTTGTACTCCTTCCGCAGCTTATCAGCACTCTTGTTATTCGTCGCGCACGCAATCCTGGGCCCGGAGTGTCGTTCTGCGTCGTTCTGTGTCGCTGGGCAGATTCCTGGACACATGGCATTGATGTTCTTGTTGCGGGCTACTGGTACTGCTTTACGTCTAAGCAGTGGCACCTCCCCGATTCCAACGTCCGATCCTCAAGGCCCAGGGCGGGACCGTTGAGCACTCATCTTGGGCTCTATTCACTTGTCTGGTTAGGGAACTCTCTTTAGCTCAGAGTTCGGCTCCTCTGGGACGGGAATATGGCCAGGTCCCGGCGAATGTACGGCTCCGTCTAAGCCACCAGCCACATCAAACAAACATGTCCGTTCGCTCAAGGCGAGAAGTCGGATGCGAGTTTCGGGCGATCGCTGGTCATGCGATCGAAGGTCTTGAAGATTTGGAAACCCACCACGTCACGCCGCCTTCCGCGCTGGAGAGGCATGAAACCCTTCTTCCATCTTCTTCCTCTCATTCCCCCCCACCACGCCCCCCATCTTGTTTGACTCACAGCCAAAGAGCTTGGCATTCACCAAGAAATCGAGCGATGGAATGCCCAGTGTGGTGGCCGCAAAGCCAAGGTCAAATAACAAATCATGGTCCACGTTGACGAAGCCTCACCGGTTCGAGAGTCGGAGTGAATTGGATTGGGTGGCCTGCAGGTCACTGACTGGGTCACTGGGTGATCAGCTTGGTCCAGCACCACCCCAAAAATCCCAACATCTATCGCTTGGTGTGTACATATAGGTTCTCTATGTGTATACATATATATATATTATATACAGTATATGTGTGTGTGTGTTATACCATTTATATGTATATCTCATGTGTTCATCTTGGTGTCAGGAGGTCCTTCATCTTCAGCACCCGGAGACTGACACCCCATGTCACACTGTGCCCCGCCGGAGCCGCGGGGTCCAACCGGCCCCTGATCCTCCTACCATCGCCCAGCGGGCCCAAGCGGCTACAATCCCAGCGTGAAGCGCCGCAGTCCCGAAGGTCGTCACTGGGCAAAGGCGTGATGATCTCGCTGACGCTGTGTTCGCGATGGTGCTTCAAGTACTCGCACACTTTCGTCATCGTGTCTCCTCAGGTCCAAGAATGTCACGGCAGGCAATGTGATTGGGTGACCATGATGGACCATCGTTCTAGAATGGTTCATGCTTCTGATAACTCTGGTCAGTTCCCTTTGGCAAGCGGCAAGCAGCTTGCTCGCATGAAATTTGACTGCAATCCAACTATGCCATACATGGAGTGTCTGGGCATCTCTCCAAGAATCTCTTGATCTCAAACCGCAAGGTGTTCTCCAAGCCATGCTCGCGATGCTCCAGCCTCGCATCAGAAAGGTCACTTCTTGTGTAACTCCAAAACCTTGAGCTACCAACAAATGTTGAAGAACCCTATAGACTATCCTATAGGTACCCCTGTAGGGTCCTATTTACGGTCACTTAACCTCTGTTGGTACGGGGAAAAGACTTACTAAACATGTTGACTCGACTTCGAGAAACATGTCAAGTGATCTATGTTTGCGGACGGGCGACCACCGTCCGAGAGAGGTCCCGCAAGGGTTGAAAATTTGCCATTTGCAGTGTGGTCACCGTCCCAAGGCTGGTTGCCCAGTCTTGTCATGGAATTCCAAGCGGGTAGCAGAATTGATCAGATTGATGGCTCAACTACGGGTTGTGTTTCTCGGCTCTGTCACAGCAAATGGCACAAGATCCAAGGCCATACAGATCCATACAGGTCAGTATCATCGGTCTGTGGTCAGGCGGAGAAGTTTCATCTAACCACTACCTGGCAGGTGTATGCAGCGCTGTATGCAGCGCTGTTTCCGTGATCTACTTTCTTTAATCGTCTGGGAGTCAGATTCGGAGTCCATCCGCGGCGCGATTGGCTCCGAGTGGCAGGAGGCTTCGAACACGACCCGCCAGGCAAGCAGCTTCAGCAGGAAGCTCGAAGGTGTTCCCTGCCCGGCTCGGTTGCTTCGGCACCGGTGACGGACCGACACGGTGCGACCTGACTGCCCTGCCACACCGGTCTCGTCGGGTCTTCAAAGGCACCAACCTCAACAGGAACCTCCGGTCAGGAGGGTGGAATGAACACAAACCTGCAGGGGAAGATGCTTGTTTTCGGGCCATGTCCAATTCTGCAGGTGAATCCAGTCAACTCTGCTGCTCTGCGAAAACCAAAAACCCGCCCACAACCTCTCAGAGACCGGCGCCTTCCAAGCATTCGATGGACACCGTTCGCCCGCGCAGCTCGCTCGGGCAGGAGGGCCCTCCACGGCCAAACTTCAGGCAGCCTCGGCCCAGGTCATTTGGAGGAGTGACAGCCATTGGTATTCGCTGTACTCGCTCCATAGCTCCCTTCGTAGAGGGGAAGGTGCTGTCATGCCAGCCTCCTGGTTAGATCTGGGGCTCGGCGTCTATAGGTATAAAGGATGAATATGGAAGCAGCCGCCTGGTTGAACTCATGACTCTTGTGGGCCCTCTATCCCCATCCCAACAAAAATGGAGCTTGGAAAAACGTGGGCCCTTCATCCAAGTTCTTGACCAGCCACCGCTGCCAGGTGAATTTTGGAGGAGAAAGTTCTTCCTGCACGGACCCTGAAAAGCAGGACATATTTGGACCCACAGGGCCCACAAGCTGGTGTTTTCATGGACGCCCCACCAGATCACCTCCCTTTTGCGGGGCGGTGACGGCTACACACCCCGGGACTTTGTTTGGCACAGGTTTTTGAAGCCACCTTCACCTTCGAACGTCCTTGGTCCTTATGGGTCTTGAGGTTCACCATTGGAGATTCTCCACGTCAACCGGGTTTTCGGGGGCCACAGGTCACCACCCCCGCGGTGAGCCGTCTTGTGGGGCGCCCTATGGGTTGACAAGAGGTCCACCCAGGTCACAAGAAGTCAGCGGCACTCAAACGCAACCCAGTCATTTCGATGACCAAGAGCAAGTATGTTCAAGTGACTGCGCCCAAAAAGGAGAAGTCCGAGGGGTCCACTTTACACCGTTACACTGTTACACTATACTCACAGGTACCCGCTAGACTATATACTTGACAACGCAGCGAGGGGATAGCAAAACACAGTTGTCCAGCCTTTTCGTTCAGCCGTGCCTTCCCCGTTCACGTCCGGAGTCCGGGCCTTGGACTTCGAAAATCTCCCCGGCCATGCCCGTTCTCCTTGGCCAGGGGCGCGGGTGGGGATCCAAGAGGATCTAACTAACAGCCCTAGACAGATTGATTTGGAAACAGTTGGGAGGAAAACAGAGCGAAAATGTATACCCAAACACTCCATGGGGCTGGAATATATGCCGACATTGACATAAGACCCCTGAAACAACCACCCCAACTGATCGGCAAATATGGTATACATATGCAGTCCCATGGACGTGTCTGGGATCTGAATCAACTTCAGGTCACTCTATGTCCCTCCCATGGCGTCAGAGTCTTGAGCCCAATGGCAGCGAGACAGGTCAGATGTAACAAGGATACATCAACATCTGCAGCAGTCACCAAGGGGTGCGATCCATGGAGGTTAGGGGTGCCCAGAACATCCACTCGCCAAGGGACTAAAAACCACCCCTGTGTGACTCCTGGTGTATTTTTTAACATGGAAGTGGAAAATGGGACCCTGGCTATCCTGGCTATCCTCTACAAAGAGGGGGTGACCTCCACTTCCATGTTAGTGAGTCAAAGTGTATTACCGTACTTTTGGGGCCGACAGTCGAGTCAGTTGAGTCATCGGGTGGGTTCCGGTTCGACTCGACATCCGTTTCAGTGGGTCAAGTGCCTGAGATCCTTTAGTAGAACCGCTAGGGCCATCTGGGCACCTCATATCCGAAAGATTGTTCAGAGTCTCGGACCCAGCCCTTCAGACCAAGGGGACCTCCTTGGGGCCCTGCTTGAACCTCTAGATTCAATCTTGTGGCAGCTTTCGTTCACCCCTTGTTGCTTACTAGGCCAGTTGATCCGTTCTAGGCGTCCCGCAGCCGTCGATGGGCTCCTCAGAGCCCAACCACCAGCCCAAACTGAGTGCCAAAAGTTCCCGATCCGCATGAGCCCTTGATCATCTCTAGTAACTCTAGTAGCTTGCCAGTGGCCAAAAACAACAATTCTTTCAATACACCCTCTAAATCCCTCTAAATACAAAAATCAACTTGGACCTTTCCCGGGAAGTCCAACACCGAGACCATGGAGGCCGTGCCTTGGTGACCGGGTCCATCGTCCACCTGGCGTGCTTTCGGGGCGCCACGGCACGCCACCACGGCGTTCGAGGGAAAACGTCTCAGTAAGACGAGGACCTAGAAGTGAGCGAAAATCGACCTTCCAAAAACCTTCCTGAAAGGAGTGGAGCCACTCTGAGACTCTGGCGCTTCTGAATGGAATCGGCTGCTGGTGTCATTTTTTTGGGGGGGGGCAGCTCTATCCAAGCGTTGCCCGTGTCATCCCAACGAAATGGAAAAAATCATGAAACATATCACGAAACATCCTTAGCTCCATATGGACCTCATTGGGGAACAAAGAAAGGGATGTTCCATCTCCAAGAAATGGATGTTCCATCTACTTGTGGTCCACACCATAATCCACACCGGTTTGACCCTGGCGGAGCGCTGCGCCTCGACAGCTGGGAGCGCCCCGACAGCTGGGAACAGCTGAGGAACTGAAGAGATCAGAAGGTCTCCAAATCACTGCCTGGCACCGCCCAGTCGCCACCAAGGTTCTGCCGGCAGAAGCGATCGCCGATCGCCCGGTGAATTACGGGTCCCAAGGCCGGGGTTTGGCTGGTGCCTGGCGGTGTTTTTTTTTGGGGGGGGAGGGGGTGCGGCATGCCAGAGGGCGGCCTGAGGAACAACAACAGTGCCGTTTCTGTGTTGATGGAAGGTGATGACTGAAGAGCCACCAGCAAACTTGCTGTCAAAGGTCACCAATTTCCAAACAGTTTTGTTTAAACCCCGGTAGGTGAGTGGACGGCGCAGTGGACGGCCCTCCAACCATATGGAACTCAAGGTGTTTCCAGGGTTCGACCTATGCTTGGTGGATTTCGACCTAGCACGGACGGCTCAGGAAGTGGGTCGACTACGCACTCATGAAGCATAATCAAATGACAAGGGCACTGTGCACTTGACTCGAATCAGAGCCTAATCAAGGTTAATTGAAGTCAACTTAGTGTGGCTATCGGTATACCTGCTTTCGATGTTGAACCTACTTGGAGCATTGGGGCACTTGAGACAGGCCCACATATGTCACATTGTCTAGAGTCTAGGCGGTCGTGGAAGCGGTCGGTCAACATGGAGTTGTCGAACAAATGCACTCATGAACCGCTCAAGAGTTTTCCAGCAAAGCAGTTATATTACTTTCATTTACTCTCCGGTTCTTCGCGCCATTCTGCCACAAGTTTCTCGGCAGGTTCAAGGCTGAGCTCGGGGTTCTGCACTGATTGCCAACAAGCCGCTCCCTCCCAAAAGAACAAACCATGACACAAAGCGATGTTGATTCCTCAAAACCATCCAAAACCAGGGTTCTTTCGACGAAGACCCTCCATTATCCCCTCCATGTTTATCGCCGTTTACCCAGTGCCCTTGAGGTCCCCAGAGTCTCAGGTTCCCTCTGGCCTAAGTCGTGCTCCTAGGCCATGCTCCGAGTGCGGATGGCAACTCGCTCGTGATGGAGAGAAGAAAATTCATCCTTCATCCTGTTTCATCCCTACCAATCTGATCCAAATCGGGGGGAATGAAGACCAAGATTCCAGACCCAAACGAGCAGGCACTGGCAGGAACTCAACGCTTTAGATAGGTACATATCGGTACACCATTCCCTATATAGGAAGTGATCGTTGTAAGGCTTTGTCGAAGCCAGGAGTTTGGGGGCTGTGCCTGCAAACATTTGACTCATGCACTGCCCTATCATTATTGCTTCGATGAGCTTCCGCAAAGGGAAGAACATGCGCCCATGTGCAGTATCAAAAGCTGAACGTGGATAAGTGCAGCATCAGAAGCTGCGTGTGGATATGTGCAGCGGATGTTGAAACTTGAGGGGGAAACCAAAAGGATGGTGACGAACTGCAGCAGTTGAGCTCCATCTGGAAGGAAGAAAATCGGGCACCCATCATCATTTCTCACTAACCTCCTTATGGTGCTTTAAGAGGTTCGATGGCACTGGCCGCTGGCACCCCAAAATGTCTGGAAAAAAGACAGGGGTCCATATAAGCAAGCGTTTGAGGATTGTGCCATCTACTTTGAAATCACAGACTCAGAGTCCTGACCAGGACCCGTCGGTTAAAGAGCCCCCTGTCATGACATAGAAACTACATTCATATTATGAAAATAATACATATATATATATATTATTTAAAACAGTGTATATATATGTATATGAGCGAGATGCTATATGTAACTAAACGTGTAGTCGTAGTATTAAACCAATAATTACATAATTACTAATAATATCAAAAATAAAGCAACTAAATCGACTCAATCCTGCTGGTGTGTTGTCTTCGCCCCTCGCTGCGCAGCTCCCCGATCTTCCCCTGGCGGGCCAGGCCGCCTCGGCACCTGACTCCTCGTCCGACTGGAGGACGCCGGCCTCCTTATCCAGGGAAACCGTCACCAACCATCCATTACATAACTTTATATATAACCCACTGATTGCTAAAGACATCCCAAGACATATTTTGCAATCCTTCTTTTGTTTGCTTTATGAGTCTGCAATTGGGCACCATCGAAAACCCTTACTAGCAAAGAATCAAATCAATTCTACTCAATTGTGTTCTTTAAAGGGTCTTGCAAAGACAAAGGTGTGCCCTTCAATTTGGCAGTGTGCGTGTGTGTGTGTGTGTGTGTTAAATTCTTACCCTAAGAATCTGGGCCCTCGAATGGAAAGGGCTTGGTTCCGGTACGGACCCCTGCGAAGAAGTCGGGTCAAACCCCCGTCATGGAGGGTCCAAGGATTCTGTGTAGGTGATTTTTGGCCTTGCAAGTGTTTTCTCGGGACCACTCATCAAAAAGCACGTGTCTCCGCAGTCCTTGTGTGTGTGCGCTCTTTTTTGGGGGGGAGAGACCTCTCATGTTCTCGAAGCCTTGCCCCTCAGCAAGGCTTACATGCCCGGAAGGCAAAAACATAACCTACACAATCCCACACACATCTAAAACCTGTCCAGAATTGCTGGCAGTTGGTGGTGGGGGGTGCTTTTCATGGCTTTTCGTTAGGGAGGCGGAGGGCGGATTCAAGAAATACTCCTCCTAATGTTGGCCAGGGACTCGCAACTCTGCTGCTGCGTACTCCGCCAACTCCGCACCCGACTGCCTGGGGGATGGAAGATCTGAAGAAAGAGCTCAACCCACACAAACACCCGATCTGATGTATTGCATATTTACCTAATACATCAAAAAACAAACATTGGGGTGGGTTGAGAGGTTGGTGTCTGGGCAGTGGAGGAGTGAGTGTCACCAAATGGGCCGTTGGGCAGGCGCAGGGAGCTAAGATCCGCTTCTGAAAGAAGTGGTACCTTTGTGGGGCTGCTCTGGTCGGACGTTCTTTTCTAACTTGAAGGGGATTGAAGTACATTCTCAAAAAGTGCTCGGGGCAACTGTGAGCATTCGATATATGTGCGTTTCATGTCAGACAGCAAACGCAAATGCTTGCCGATGTCACTGCAGCTCATGACATATCCCAAAGGGCAATGAATTGACAAAGAGCTGTGCCCAAACTTCCTGTCCAACAGCGGCTATAAGATTGAAACCCACAAATGGTGGAAATCCTGTCCCAACCGTAGTCTTATCTTTTTGTGTCACCGTCAACTTTGTCATAAACCTCTCTCTCTCTCGTCTCTGGGCATGCCATGACCTGTTCTCTACTCTCTGCTCAACTGTCAAAAGCTTTGGATTTGCCTCTGGCCTATCCATCGAGTTGCATTATCTAATCGTCAAAATTGGTCAACTTCTTGTTATCTTCCTCCTCACTGACTCCTGACATCCCTAAACCGATCCCATTATTTCTCACCCCTGCCTCGAAAGCCTTGGTTTCAGCTCTGGCTCAACAGGGGATGCTGGGGATGGGTTAGGCACCTCTAGAGATCTCCTCGGGGCACTCATTGCGGGCTCATCGTCTTCTGCTTGTGTTCTCTCGCCGGTCAAGTTGGGTGTTCCCAACGGAATGCTGGGAGAAGGATCACCAAGAGCTTCTGGTAAACCTTCTGACCTTCTGCCAGCTTCCTCGTGCCTGCCAATGTTAGCGCAGCTCATGACACATTTCAATTGGCAGTTGACAAATAGTTCATGTTCTTGCCAGTTTTCCGTCCAACAGAAAACACTATAGGATTTTAATCGAGGACAATGGTGGACATCCTATCCAAATCGAGTTGCATATCAAGTCTTATCTCATCGTCAAGGTTGGTCAACTTATGGCTCCTGCATGTTCCTGCTAACATCCTCCAAACCCATCCCATTACTTCTCAACCCCTGCCTCGAAAGCCTTGGTTTCAGCTCTGGCTCGACAGGAGACGCGGCAGGCACCTCTAGAGATCTCCGACGTCCGATTCGGTTCACCGCCGGCAAGGACCCCCAGCAAAGGCACAAAAAGGGGAAGGCAACACCATTGGGTAAGGAGAAATGGTACAGTCGGTCACTGGGTAGCCCAGTTATCCCATTTCAACCGGCTGTAAATATCGAATTCTTATAGAATGAATGTCCAAACCCTTTGCAACCACATCGAAGGTTACTATCCTGGCCATGGTTCCCACGCCCCTCTCGGACGGGCCAGTTGGTTTCGGAATCGGAATGCCTTGATTTCTGAATCGGCAAATGTCCCACCTCTAGAGATCTCCTCAGGCCACTCACCGCGGGCTCATCGTCTTCTACTTGTGTTCTCTCGCCGGTCGAGTCTGGTGTTCCCAACGGAGTGCTGGGAGAAGGGTTACCAAGAGCTTCTTCTGACTCCCTGTCTGCTTCCTCGTGCCTGCATAGATGTCACGGCAGTTGTTCAAGCTTCCAGCTTAAGCGGAAACATTGGTTGTGACTGAGAATTCACAAATCAATATCTTCAACTTGATCGTCTTCTAGATTCTACCTCCCTCATGTCATCTCATGCTGCATGCCATGACCTCTCTCACTCTATCTATCTATCCATCTCTATCTATCTATCTCTCTTTCGTCTCTGGGCATGCCTATGTTCAACCGTCAAAAGCCTTGGGTTTGCCTCTGGCCTATCCATCGAGTTGCATTATCTTCTCGTCAAAATTAGTAAACTTCTTGTCATCTTCCTCCTCACTGACTCCTGACATCCCTAAACCGATCCCATTATTTCTCAACCCCAGCCTCGAAATCCTTGGTTTCAGCTCTGGCTCAACAGGGGATGCTGGGGATGGGTTAGGCACCTCTAGAGATCTCCTCAGGGCACTCATTGCGGGCTCATCGTCTTCTGCTTGTGTTCTCTCGCCGGTCAAGTTGGGTGTTCCCAA